GGGAGGAAACAGGAGCTCACCCTGTTCAACGCAAGGGCTGGACTCGAACCGCTGAAGTGTCAACCATTTCTGGCCGGCAACTTTCAGCGTCATTAAGCCGCTACGCCACCGCGTCCCCCTTAACAAGAAAATTAGACCAATGTAAACTTTATTTTTTCCCCTACAGGGACTTCTCTGTATATTACACCTCACTGATAAGGAGACACTGCTGCATGTAAAGGCTCCTCCTAGTATGCAGTTTAGTGTTTTCCATACATTCACATTTTTATCTCAAGTAAAGTTTTGTACAGAATGCAAGAATAAAATATTTCCAAGTAAATTTTAATAATATATTTTATTGTTATTTGAGAGTTGAAAATTTTTAGGAGTATGCCATTATTTCAAGTAAAAGATGGTATGCAGGTAGTCCTTGGGTAATGATCACTCGTTCAGCAGCCATTCAAAGTTACAACAGTGCTGAATGAGTAGTACTTATGACCAGTCCTTGAAGGTTCAGCTTGTGTGCCCTCCCGCCCCAGCAGGACGCACCCCACACCAGACCATACTCATGCTGGGCTGCAGCAGCCGCTTGTGCACCCTCTTATCCTCCAGAGCACCTATGCCTGGCTGTGCTCACGCTGTAGCAGCCATTTAGCTGCCCGCTGGCCTGCTTGCAAGCCGCCTGGGACTTGCAACTTCCTGCCAGCTTCCCCATTGACTTTGCTTGTTGGAAGCCGGCAGAAAGTCTCAAGTTAGCGACCTATGATCCTCGCTTAATGGCAACTGCTGGGATTGCCATTGCAAAGCGCTGCGGTCATGTGACATTGTGCTTTATGACTACATCACGTAACGATGGAAATTCCGGCCCCAATTACCATTGTTACCCAAAGGCTACCTGTATTTTATTTTTATTACAGTTATCTGAAGGTTAAAATTCACATAATATACATACAAGCCTTTGTGATAAAAGTCTCAGTATTTTGTAGAATGCATATGATTAGAAGCTACGGGATGTAATTTAGACTTAGTGTACTTTTAATGGAACAATCTGACAATTCTGATGTAGTTCATAAGTTTCATTTTTGTGTAAAGCAAAATATTCAGGCACAAAGGTCTCAGTCCAGTTTTTACAAGTTTGATATTTACCATACCAGATAAATCAGTTGTATGTGTGTGTGCTGAATGTTTATTCAGTCTGGTAAGTAACACATCTGACTACGTGAGGCCACATTCAGAGGAAAAGCAGTTCAAGCAGAAAAGAGGCTTTTTAAAAAATAGAAATCAATCTAAATTAGGGTGCTTATGTTTATAATCATAGAAGTTAATATTTATGCAAGAGAGCTGCAAACATAGCAAGAACTGAGTTTGCTCTCTTTGCTGTTTAAGTTTATAGCAGCCAACTTCAAGCTATTTGTACATTTGGAAACAACTGTTTCTTAGTAGCAAAACTATCAAAAACTGGCCTGGATTGAATTTCTAGTTCTGTCCATAGTATGTATCATGACTCTAAATCACATTATCTTCTATGGGCTTAATCCTACAAAAATGCATTTAGGATTTCAGCCGTAATCAGTAAAACTCAAGTATCTAAAGACAACTTTTATTTTTGTTTGTTCCAGTACTTTATAAGCTATTGCTTGACTGCTTGTACATAACATTTATGTTTTTCTAAGTAGCAGAATGGGGTTCCAGACCCTAATCCTTTAGCCGTTGGTTTAGTCACTCCCTTAAGTCTTGCAATGAGAGATCTCCTGAGTGCTGAGGGTATGTCTCAACTGCCATCTCAGGCTTTACCTTCATCAGGATCTGTATACATAACTCCAGCCAACAGCAACTTTCTTCAGAAGCCTGCAGTTTATAGCCAGAAGATTGACATGATGGAACCAGGCAGTGAGGTCAAACACAAGATGGATCAGGTTTGTTTGAGGGAGCTGAAAGCTCCAAGATTCTTCTAGTACTTCAGTGGTTCATTAAAGCAGTTGCAGCTAGGTAAGAAAAAAAGTCAAAAGAAGTTCAAAGTCAAGGACAATATTATAATTCAGTCAAGATGAAAAACCAAGCTACATTATGAAGCTTACTCTCTTTTGTACAGGAATTTTTATTCAAAGTTTGCATCATTTATATTTTTGCAGAATTTGGACTGCTGCAAGTTGCCATGATTGAGATGCATAGGAAAGAGAGGAAATAAAATACATAATTTGGAAGGGGCAAAATTGATAATTAAGATTGTAGAACCAGTGGGGGGTTCTTTCTACAAGCCTTCTTTAGCAACTGGAATCAAAACCCAAGTGGTGTTAGACTAGTTTGGATGATAGTTATCTGGTTAATAAACAGTGATAGGAACAATGTTTATACAAGTTCATACCACCCTTTTGCTTTTTGTTTTGTGGTGAAATTAAATAAACCCAGAACTCTTCAGTTAACAAATTTACTCAAAGTAGGAAATTTTGCATAATTGCTTTGGAGAAGACAGGATTTAAAGTCATCTTGGTTTATTCCAAATCCATTAAGCCAGAGGTTCCCTCTAGGTTCATGGCTCCCTTAGTGTCTCAGTAATTTTTTCAAGGTGCCCATGGGCTACAGTTTGTACAGTGTCTGACATAGTCGAGTATCACTGTGTTTCCCTCAAAAATTTAAAATACCTTGCAGTGCCCCTGTGAGTTCACTGTGGCGCCCCATTTTGGGATGGTGGCATTAAGCATCATATCTCTCTGGCTGAAACAGGAAATTGTAGTTAATGGAAGATTTTTCAGTTTGTTCAGTTGCTTAGTATGAAGGGGCAGCATGTGCAACAAAAATTATTAAGTGAAGGTATGATAATCTGTACCTGGTGGTTGGCTTGGTTCATGTGTAAAACCCAGCCATAGTATGGTGTTATGAGAACAAATGTTTACATTCATTTCCAAACTATGGATTTTACTAAGAATAGTCTGGTGGATTTGCTGTTGTTACTTAAAAAACCCGGGAATATTGATTAAAGCAAAAGAATATTAGGAGAAATTGCCTGTTATAAAAAAATGTTTTTCTTCAGGTTTATGGGCATAATTTTAATTGGACTTTGTAATTGCCTGCACAAAAGAGTACATTATACTCTTTTAACACAAAGATGAGAATTTTAGGAAGCCTAATTCTGTGGGTGAATATACTTACATCTGAAATTTCATAAGCAGACTTTCTCCTCCCCACTGCAGCATTTCTGGGTGTGCTCAGAATCCACTCAGAAGGCTTAGGGACTACCACAACAGTGATGGAACAGTGGGAGTTGAAAGGAGGAAGGGAAATCAACCCCCTCCCTGTTCTATGAGCAGAAACTGGTAACTGCTGGTGGAAAAATGCAAACAGGTTCTTGCAGTTCATTGTTTATACTGCATTTACCATGACAAAATCTAGTAAAAATATGCTCTAGTTTCTTGATTGGCATTGCAGATTGGCCTCTTTATATGTGTATGGCACTTTCTGAATACATTTGAACCATGCCAATGATGTTCTAATGTAAATGATATCTAATTTATAAATATCCCTCTTCCCTTTCTCTGTCCCAATTTTCAGAGCTACATTTGTCCAAATGTCAATGCTGACTATGACTAGCTTTAAATTTTAGTTGGCAAAGCACAGTTAGAAAAGGATGGAAAGAGTGTGGAAGCCTTGAAACATTCATGGTCTCCAACCTCTTCAGGAACATTGTCTCAACTGAGAAGTTTCTATCCATTTTATCCTTGGGGCTAAATGTATTAATTCTTTAGAGGACTTATTTATCTTAGAATGAGATGCAGTGTGGATATATAATTCTATTTTGCCAGCTGACTATTTTTATCAGTCACCTAAGAAATATTTCTTTAAAAAGTTAAGTTCTGCTCCCCCCATCCCTTTCAGATTTATCATCTTGGAAATTACCTGTATTTTTTAAAGTAATAAATGACATTACTGTTGAAAAGCCTATTTTGAATCTTGTATTTTTTAATATTTCCAGAATGAAATAGAAACAAGTAAATCTGCTCCAATACTGAATACAACAAAACAAGATGGTCCAGTGCCAAAATCACATAGTGTTTCACTTAATGACACTGAAACAAGGAAGCTAATGGAAGAATGCAAAAGACTTCAGGCAGATGTGGTGAAACTATCAGAGGAAAATAGACATCTGAGAGTAAGTTTGGGGATACAGGATAAGTTGCTTTTCATTGGTAAAACTGGACTTTGCAGATTTGTTCATAAAATTTATTTTTAAAAATTACTTACACTGAACCGTTGATAATAAACACAGTATTTTTGGCTGGAAGGGCTGAATACCAATCCAATAAATAATGAAGGTAAAATACATTTGTTTTAAGAACAAAGGGAACTGGTTTTACTGAAAGGATGAATTTCCCACATACAATAGGTCTAATATTTAAATGTATTAGGCCAGGCTTCCATTAATCAAGACAGAAAAAAAACTGTGGTTTAAATGTGAATCAGGTTATTTTAGTAGTTTAGTAGCATCTCTGGCTTACAAGTAAACTTAGGCTTTGCTTAACTTTTTCTATTTGAACACCCTACAAAGCCAGGCTGATGTTCTCAAAAGCCTAGAAGTTTCTCTGTGCCACCATTGGTAATCCTAAAGCTGAAATAAGTAGTAGTGTTTCAGGCAAATCACTGTTCCCAATTATTTTAAATATTGGACCATAATATCATAATAGTCATATGGTTGGGGAAATTTCTTAGTTCCTATTTTCTATTTAGGATTAGTATTTTATGCGCCTTTTATGTTAAGTGTCAATCTTTAAAGGCAGAATGTACAAATAAAAAAAGTCTATGATAGCATTTAAATACTTCTCAGAAATGTTTAACTGTACTGGTTGTATTCAGGCCTGATGTGGTCTCTGGATTTCTTCCCCCTATTGATTGATTTCCTCCATGTATTTTCAGGATGAAGGCTTGAGGCTGAGAAAGGTGGCACACTCAGATAAACCTGGACCGTCAGGCTTGGCCCTCCGAGATAATGGCTCCAACCCTCTTCCCTCACTCCTTGTTGTAATTGCAGCCATTTTCATTGGATTCTTTTTAGGGAAATTCATCTTGTAGAAAGGGAGAGAGAAGAGAGAGAAGCATGCAGAATGCAGCTTCCTTTTTTTTTTTTCTTGGCCAGAAAAAAAATTATTTACCTACCACTTCATTGGTAGTATGGCCAAAGTGACCATTTTTGTGTACAGCATCATACAGGCTTTGCCTCTAATGATCTTGCACGGTTAGACAACACAATAAAAAGACAAACTGTTCGGCTGCTGGACAAAATTGTATATTAATTCATTAATAGCAGGTGTCAGTTGCACATTCAGTCCTTTATGAAAAGTCATAAATAAAGAATTGTTCTTTCTTTTTGTGGTTTTAATAAGAGTTAAAATTGTTCAGTCTTGTAAATGTTATTTTAATAATCCTTTTCAAATTTTATCTGTTATTCTTGCCTCTTGGAAAGAATGATTATTAGAATGCTAATTCGCTTGTTCAGGAAAATGATGAGGCATTCTGTGGGGAAATGTTTCTCTTAGTGTATACATTTTCTCCTTCACCTTACTTTGCTAATATCATGGCAGAATTTCTTACCCTTGTGAGGTGGTTGTGGAAGAAAAAAAAAACATCCTGACAGCCCTGTCCCATGGTATTTAACAAACAAAATAATAAAACTGTTAACAGACTTCCTAATGGGTAGCTTGTTTCTGTGAATTGTTCCTTTAGAAAGATTTTACAACATGTGCTATACACAGCCTGCTTCTTGTCACAGATTTATATTGTTCACTAGTTGTGGCTTGGACTGGTGCCAGTGAAGCTTCAGAAGAAATGTAGCAGTTTCCATATTGTGCAGCAGCAGCTGTAAAATTACCTGGCTTTTTAGAAAATGAAAGGTCAGAATTCAATTTGGTTTGGGACATGGGACACATATTTTAAATTACTTTTTAGAAATAGTATTTGGGTTTTCAGGTACTTCTGTTGCATCACTGATATTCCTTTAAATTTATGGCATCAATTGCATCCTGATTTTTCATTCCTTATTAGGCCAAGTGTTCCATAAAAGAACATTCCCTGTAATGTTTCCAAATAGTCCAAAGTTAATACTGATTGAGAAAATGTTGATCATTTAGTTTTGTGAAGAAATTAAGCTTTGTTCAGCAAATGTCTTGGCACAGCTGCCTGTTAGCTATGCATATTTTCTGTACTCTATAAAATTCATTTTATTTGGTCTGAATATCTTTTCTGCACTTAATCTTGTGGTTTAATTTCTGGTCTTCATGTCATTAAATAGATGATTTTGAAAGCACAATACAGCTATTCTAAAGTAATCCATCATAAGGAAGTATTTGAAATTGATATTTTGGAAGGCTTATACTTGTAAGCAGAATTTTGTATGTACTTGGATATAATGAAGCTGTGCTAGATTTTACATAGCTGAGAACTGTTCTAGGAAAAATATACATCTTCTTGGTTGCCTTTGATTTTTAATGCTTTTTTAAATGGAAGATCTACTTATATCATGTACCATCACTATTCTCTTTGGTAAACTTTTATAAACACCTTGCAATTTACAAAGAAGATGACGAACAAATCACTGCCTGATGTTTCACTTAAAAGCATGCAAATACAGACAGTTCCTCTTTGTGTTTTCTGGTATCTGCATTCAAGAGTTCTTTGACTGGTGGCTTGAAGAAGTGTGCTCCTATCTGGTTCTCACTTAATTGGTTCTAAAACCAATAGTACTGTTCATACTGTGTTGTATAACTGGTACATCAGAAGAAAGCATTTATTCCTTAAAGGAAATTGATCACTAGAAGATTACAAGGAAGAAGACTTATATACAGGCTATAACTTCTAGATTCATTTTGATATTTCTGTGGAAGAGGAAAGCTTCAAAGATATGTTTGCTGTTAGAGTAATAGATACAAGGGTTTGTACTGATTAAATACTTTAGAATTTATCAGCCTGAACTTAGAATTTATTACAGATAGCCTGAACTGTATAGAAACATAGTGTGGGGAAGTACTCTAACCTGGGCATGATCTTTTGCCACCAAAAACAACAACAACAACAACAGCATCATTCTGCAGCTTATCATCTGATGATTATAAGTATAGAATTAGGGGCCGAGTTGGGCTACTTAGCAGGGCAAAACTTTCAAAGATAAATACTGTGGAACAATTCAAGGGGAATTTGGGCACCATAATTAGTGTAAGTACAGTGAGGAACTCCTGCTTATGTGGATGCGCTTCTAGTTTCTAATAATCCTTTCATAACTGTATATGAAATGTAATGCTGAACTATTTCGCTCTCAGGAGTGATTTTGGATGATATCAACTGTATTTAGTGAAATTATGTAATATGGATTAAATTGTCTGTTCCTGAAATGGTTAGAACTTTGCCTGCTTGCTTGTGTACATCAGTGTGAGGAACATTTGTTCCTGTTAATAAGTGCTTCCATCTGAAAGTGCAGTCTGTTCACAACAGTAGATCTCACGTATAGTGAATTGTTGGCTCCTGCAGCTTGTGTGATGCAAGCCTTATATTTAAGGTTGGCAACTATGCTTATGGCAAGAAGTTATGACCGAAAACAAAATTATTTAAAACGCATGAAATGTTTTTCTTCTGCTTCTTATATAAAGGGAGAAAGAAGCTCTGCCCAAAATCTGCTTAATTGATTTCAAAGAAAAAATTATGTTTAAGTAAAACTAAAATGAGTTTTCCAGTGAATTTCTTGGTGCAGAAAGTCTTTTGTGCATTCAGGTGTTGATATTGGGAAAGTAACACCACCTTATATTTTATGAACTGAGTGATAATTCACAAAACATGCAAAGGAGTTATGGTACCCATTGTTTTTTGTAACTCAGCATTGATAGTATTTCTGTTGCGTTCAGTGTGAAATTTATAAAACAAATTAAAACTTGGTATTCATAACAATTGATGGGAAGCTGGCAACTACATGCCCACAAATTGTTTTGATTACAATTCCTGTACATCCAGCAGACCTGCACCAAGACCAGGGATTATAGGATAAATGTAATGCAGAAAATTTGGAGGGTGCCCATTAGTTCTTAGTAACAATAAAAAAAACTTCAACGTAGCCTGCTGTGCAATCAAGTGCATAAAAAATAGATTGGATTTTGAATATCACCATGTTCAGCAAATACTAGCTTGTTGGGATATCTTGATATATGTGCTCAGAATAAATATATTTTGCAAATCAGTATGATTGCCTAAGGATATGCATATTCTTAGCTATCTGGGAAGATACATTTGTGGGTAATTTGAGAGGTTTGATTTTGTTCTTGACTCTCAGCAACTCCATTCTTTGGTCTAACTTGAGAATTTATAAATTAAAGAATAAACCTATTTCTCTGTAGATTATCTAATGATATCTTATTACACATATTTTTGCTGTATTGGCTGCAAAAAGTGTAAACTGATACACTAGGTGGCAGTCTGTTGCCCTTGTAATAGTAGCAATATCTGTAAAGACCAAAGTTGTTACTAAGAGATTATTTTACAGTAGTTCTTGGGCAAGAAATCTTTGATTGGAATTGCAATCCTTTTCATTTGTCTCTCTCTTTCTCTCTCTCTCTTTCATGCACACCAGTGTTCACTGTATGGTGGTCAATTTCAGACATTCTAATATATATATATCCAAAGCATTATAATTTTTTCTAGGCATAATGATTCCTCATTCAACATATCATAGAATTCTGTATTAGAAAACTTTTGTTTTTGCATAAGGTCTGATTTCAGAAACCTTAAGCTAGACAACTATATTTTCACTATAGTACTTAAATTTAACATCAGACTATACTGAACATCTTGTTTGCTCTGCTGTATTAATAATTTATGTTGGATACAATTTTGATGTATCACATCATTTCATACATGCTCATCTAAAAATAAGCATTCAAATACGAAAAATCAGTCATATTGGATTTGATTAATCTAGCTGCTTAAAGTAAAGTTTCTCTGAAAAGTTCAATATATTTATTTTGGTATTTGTCTTACTCTGCACTTTTCAGTTGAATGTAATATTGTGCCATTTCCCAAATGTCGGCATATAAACCTTGGCGTTATTCACAGTGGTTAGATAATTCAGGAGAATGTTCTGAGATTGAGCTGCTGCCTTGGTGATCTTGAGTATTTATTCTTTTTAGAAGATATCAAATTGTAGCTGTTTCCCTAAACCTAGAAAGGATGTCTTATGTGATATCTGTCCCTGAGGGCCCTCCCCCCCCCGTACATCCCCTCAAAGCAAGCCTTTTTTCACTTTTCTTCCCTCTTGCTCCTTGCAAGAGCCAGTTTTTACCGCTCCTTTAGAAATTCAGGTGTTGCACTTCAACAGAAGTATGACACATTCTAGTCCTGTTTACCTTCCAAGGCTAATAATGGTGTGTTTCACTTTGATCTGAAGAACTAGATTGTTCTCATTCATGCTTTTTTATTACCAGCCATTGATTGTTAAGTGATAATAGTCTGTGCCCCTTTGTATATATTATAAATCTCAAGGGGTCTCCAGGAAAGTTCCAATTGATGGGTTGATTTCCTTTTTCAACCAACCAATGTTTTCCTGAGCCTACTGAGACGACAGAGATTTCCTTAATGCATTTATCAGTCATTCTGAAAGTGCTTTACATGTGAGCTACCAAAATAGAAATTATATGAGTAATATCTGAGATTAACTAAAATTGTCTCTTTTTTGGGAAGCTTTCTGCTTTGCTTATTTTTCTGTTATTGCAACTGAACATAATTAAACATCTAGAGTTGATAAAAATAACTTAATTTGCAGTATTAGATTTATTCTATTAGCTTGGGTCTGAAGCTACTTGGGTAAAAGAAACCAGGCTCAGGGTTGCCTTTACTCAAACTGCAAGTTTGAATGTTCTTCAACTCTCACATGCAGAAAAAGGTCAAATGAGGATTGTGGGATGGTGAGTGGCAAATGGATTGACGCATGTGGTTTCAGCTTTCAGTGCTGTTCTTCTGATCTGCTTTTCCTGTCAGTTGCTTTACTGCTTTGTGTTCTTAATGCTAATGAGATCTGTAAATTATTGGGGAAAGAAAAAATTAAACTGGAAAACGCTCACTTGATTATAATGTACAGAATTGTATACCTCTTCAATGTTTGTAAATCTTTCCAAATCTTAAATTGCCATTTTCTAAGTACAGAAAAAAGATTCTGTATCACAGTTCTAGTTTGCCTGTTGCCATTTTCATTTTCATTATTTTTAAATCACCTTACAGGGGTGTCTGTAGGAATGCAGTTAAAGCTATTTTTATGTGATGCACATAAGAAAATGCAATCCATAAAAATAGATGCAGCGCACATAAAAAACAGAACTTCAGTCACACCATTGTGGCCACCATCTTGACTCTTTTGACCACACTCTATGGATACCCCTGTCTCCTTTAAGTCAGAGTTGAGCAACTTTTTTTATATACCAAGGAGTTACATGACCAGAATAGGCAAAATGAGTGTCCTAAGGACTCTGCAAGGCTTAAAATACCAATTTTGCCTATTATTTTAGTCTGTTAACTAATGTTAGGGATTCTGTGTTTAATACTAAATTGCTAAATGTTTCATACAAGCAACAAAATAGATTCAGTTACGTGAATCACCTCCCAAATGGTAATGAATCATGTAGCAAAACTGTCAGTTGCTTCTTGACTTGGTCCTTTTACTATAAACAAATTACAAATATAGAAAAACTTCAAAAAATGTGTTTGTTTAAGCAGTTGCTTGCTTGCCCAGAGCAGTGTACTGTTTGACTGAAGATTGGTTTTTTTAAACGTCCTGAAGATTGCAGCTTTTTGAGTTGTACAATGGCATTTTCAAAGCATTTAAAAGAGAACAGCAGTTTTGACATTTGCTTTGAGAACAACAAAACAAGAATGTTTATTTTTCCTATTTTCTGTATGGTACAAAGCAGTACAAAAATGCTGGCTTTGAAAGTGCTGTTTTCAACCAGATGAGACGTCGTCGTCATCAGTAGTAGTACTATACTGATTTTTTGTAATTGAAAGTTGGATTGTAGAAAGCATTGCCCTTAGAATTGTCTGTAGTGTTTAACTATATAAAATTTAAAAGAGAAGGGGAAAGTTGGTTGTATCTTGAAAAAATTAGTATCACTCTGACAATGTACCAGATTTACTAGTTGGAAAACCCATTTTAGTTTAAAACTTCTCTCCACTGGAAACTAGAGAGCAAATTGTAAAATTCATTCACATTTTCTGATGCAACCTAATTTGTGCACAGTATTTTCTTTTGTGTAGCATTACATTCCTAAATTAGAAGTTTAGGTGAAATGAATTGTTCAGTAAAGTGAATAATGTGCTTTCATCATGAGTTTTTGAAAAACCACATGCCCAAACTAAATTAGACCAGAGCCTGTTTTTTTAAACTGGCTTTCTCTTGGCAATCTAGATATTAGTGGCAGTTTCATCTAATAGTTGGCTAGATCGAAGGATTTATTTTTTCTTTATTGAAATAGTAATTCCACATTTTACTACAATGTTTGGCTTTTTTATTTTTCCTGACTGGTAAATTGATAATTAAAGATAAATATAAAATAGTAATTACTATTCTGAAATCTACATCTATCCATCTTTTAGAGGCAAGATGCTACCACTAGATGGCAATATTTTAATCCTTTTTGGAGGCACTCAAGCATTTTTCTATGTAGTTTTGGTCTCTAGTAGAGGCATGCGCTAGTTATTGTTTTACATAAATCATCTTGCTATATTCATTTCAAAAATGCTTGCACCATATTGCTCTTTTAATGCATTACAGAATAGCCAGTATGCGTAGCAGTAGATTAATGAATATAAAACCTGGATTTATTTTATAACTTTTGCAAAGCATAGATAAATATCTGATTTGGGGAAAATTAAACAGGTGGAAATTTTATATATCCCCTCTGAAAGAATATAAGAGCAAAAAGAAAGTGTTTGAATGTTAGCTGCAATGTCCTGCCAAGTTACTTGTGTGAGCATGCCCTATTTTAGAAGTAAAGGTAACTGAATTTAGATAATTTAATATAGATGAATCAGATAAAGCTAATTTCCACCAGAATTAATTTATATGCACCATTTTTATATATGTGAATCTGCTAATTCACACTAGAACGTAGAATATGTTAGTTTCTTTTGCTTTTTTGTAAAACAGCAAAATATTTCACCCTGCAATCTAACAGAACAATCTTCACAGACTTGTACCCTTAAGAGGTTTTGGAACTCTAATTCCTAGAGGAATTTTGGGAGTTTCAATCTCAACACAACTGGGTAGCAGCAGATGAGACAGCCATAGTTGACAAAAAAATTTCAGTTAAAAAAATTATTCTTCTAGTAACTAGTTTCATGTATTATTTAACATAGTTAACACAGTTAACAATTGCTCAAATTTCCCAAGCACTTTAAATTAGAAAATGAACAATTATAAAATGTTAGAAAAATTGTATCTTACAATTCCTGGGCACAGATGTAAATATGAAGCCACTTTAAAATCCACTCCCAAAAAGCAGAACCAAAAAGCTTGAATCCACCAACAGGCAGCATGCTAATCACACAGTCCAGCACTCTTTAGTGCAGAGGACTATTCTATTGGTTTTAATATGTTATAGTTTTGCACACATGTAACCCCCTTTGCCTGTCAATATCAGGAAATATAGCTGCTTACACTGCAATTTTCATTACTTAAATGAATGACCCTAGTATAAATGAACTCTCCTTTTCTGGAAATTAATATGGGGCCAGGGTATCAATAATGGAAACTTTCATATGATATTAACTTGATTTTAAGAATGTCCCTGTGGTTTCCATACATCTTGTGAATGCTCAATCATGGGTTGCTTTTGTTTTCTCTTTCATCTTAATGGAAGCGTGTAATTTCATCTGCCCATTCCCTTTGGTTTTAGTAATTTTCTAAGCAATTGGAAGGAAATTATTCAAGCCAATACTAGTGTAAATTTCAGTAGCATGCCCAGGTACTAGGAGAAGATGGAACTTTCAGAGCTCAGCCCCTTTATTAGTATTAAAAAGTAAAATGCATTATATGCTACATTATCTTAAAACAAGATTCAGTTTAGAGACATGTCATATCCCATGGTCTTCCCTATTAAATATAAAAGTGGAAGAGTTTTGCCAATCAGTTCAGTGTGTAAGCTGAAATTTTGAAAGAGGAAATTGTGTCAATAAACATGCACCTAAATCCTCAAATTGCACATGGGAGGTACATGGAAGTGAACACAGTATAAAGAGTCCTGAGTTGGAAGTTCAAGCACACTTAAAGTCTTAACTTCTATTTCTCACAGTTAAATTAAAACTAGACTGCTACCACACTAACTTAAAAACTGTTGAAAATAGTGGGGTTTAAGTACAACCATCACTACTGCAGAATTATACGTTTGTCTTCTTCCAAAGTGAAGTAGGTAGATGATAAGCATCTTTAAAGCATATGTTTAGAAATATTTGAGAAATAATAAAAATCATGATGTACTTGGTGTACTTTTGATTTATCTACATATATTGCTAGCTTTAAAGATACCAAAATAATGTTTAACAAAGGACAATTTTAAGAAATTGCTATTTAGCTTTGGACATAAAAATTCCTAGAAAAAAATGGGTAAGAATTTTCTTGTAATTTCATATTCAGATCTTTGCAATGCTTTCAATAAAGCATTTTATTAAAAAAGAGACTAACCAAGCTATAATGCTAATTTTTAGAAATCAATTAGACATGATATAGTTTTAGAGTTTTTAATTTCAAATGAGACAGACTGAAAGATGTAGCTTTACTTTAATCTTTTCTTGTATTTTTAATTCCAATTAGACTTCTAAAGTTAAGGAGACTATAAAATGGCTGATTCACACTCTATATACTCTTTTTCATAAGACGTGGAGTTGTAAGAGAACTGCTTGCTTTCTTATATTTTGTGATATAATGGTGGTTTAGCTTATCCATGTGCTCTGTTCCATTACTATTTTTTATGCACATATAAGTTGTTATACTAGTAGATGACACCCGTGTAGGCATTTGTGAGTGCATAGGTACACATAAATGTGCACTTGTAGAAAATAACAATCTAGGGAATACTGTTTATGTTTTCTGGGCTTGTCATATTTGGTGAAGGGGCTGTGACTCTAAAGAAATCTCATAATCTACAATGCCTCTACTTTGCTCAACCAATAAAAGTTTGCAGTTGGCTTCAGTTGCCTATAAATTTCTGTTCTTTTGACTAATTGCTACATGTTCTTAGTTTTAAAAGCTTCCTTGTAAAGAATGACATCTATTAGAACTTAGCCCTGTTTCAATGAATTTCCTAATTTAATAAAATGAGATTCAAGGTACGTGCAATGAATATGACAAAAATACCTTTCATGAAAATACATTTAAAACATACTTTGGCTGTTACTACTCCTATATTTGAGAAATCTTGTATTCCTCCTTCCCCTCATTTTATATTGCTTTAAAACCTTAATTACAAGTTACTGGACATCAGAAAATCATTAAATTACCATGTATTGAGCAACAATATAAAATGTGTCATGTGTTATTCTGCATCACTGAATTTAGTTTCACAATATATAAATTTTCAATTACTTTTTGAAGATTTTAGATTTTTCACTCAGTTTTTTTTATTCTAAGGATTTAACATGTAAAATCTGTAAAAGTATATTTAGATACATCCATGGATTTGAGTTTTTTGTATATACATATATACACTGTAGCTTAGGAAAGATGCAGTTTTCTAGTATTGGCACAATAAAAGTATAATACCTGATAATTAAATTCAATGAAGAAATTAATTTTTTGAATTCAATGGACTGCAACAGCAAAATTGACAGAAGAAAGGTTGCAGAAGATGTTCTGGTTAGTTGTAACGGAGTTTAACATGAAAGAAAGAAACTGCAGTCTTAAAGTGCAATTACTATTGTGCAGTCATGTCAGGCCTTAGATCAGACTGGATGAAGTTCAAAGAAGTGAGTGCTGTTCATGATTCAAAGACAGGAAAGCATGAGGAAATAAGAGCTCTCAGGCATTCAAGTGCATCAAGAAAATAAATGTCCTTAATTTTGTCTTAAAAATGCCCTTTTTCTTTGCCATTTTCATGAATCCCAAGTCCTATATTGCCCTGATCTGAGATATTTCAAAATGCTCTTCTAGCTGAGAATGTCCAAGTGTGGCACAGTATAAATAGTCAGTATTATGGCCAGCACAAATGCACAGGAATTCCTTGCTGATGCTCCACTGTTATACCATCCTAGTATGTTTTCTTCTAATGTTCCTTCTATTCTTGGGGCTGCTGATGTGCATTGAATTAAGGGCATTTGATAGGAGGTGGCTCTTTTTTCTGGTCTGTCTGGGCTAGATCCATCACTAGGCCTCTGGCCATTATATAGCAAGTATCTCCCTCTGGCATCCTGCTCCATTTTGAAGATCTCATATTCTGTGTGAGGCAGACGGATTCCCAAAGCAATACAGCCATTTGTGTGAGTTACATCTTGCTGCACCCCAACTTGCCAGGATCCTTCTGCTCCACACTCATTTCCGTTGAAGACATTCAGAAGAGACGCTGTAGCTATATCCATGGGAGTAACTTTCATATGATTCACTGCAAATAGAAGAAGCTGTTCATTACATTTTGAAGTATAGCAATTAACAGCATAGTTCAGTCTTGATTTATAACTTGATGCTATTTGTGAAAATGATCCAAATCCTTACATTAAAAAACATGCTTTTTTCTTTTAAACTGGGCTTTTATACATTAAAATTGATGTAATAGATCTACAGTTAGTTTGCTTCAAAGGAGTTACAACACTTGCCCATCTATTCCAGCATCCTATTTCCAACAGTAGTCAGCAAGGCATTTTCAAAAAGTCAACTATTCCACTTTTTCTTTCCTTTTAAGTAACTGGTTTTCAGATACTACTTTGTAGACCTGGGGATTCCATTAGCATTCGTTACTAACACCTATTAGCAGAGCTATCCTCTATCAATGTGACTAATATTTAAAGGTGCCTAAATTACAAGCTATCACATCTTGCAGCAGCATTGGTATGCACCAAGTGAAAATATTCTCAGATGTCATAAAAAGCAAAGTACAGATTTTATTTGTAGTATTTTGTCCACTGGATTTTTTGTTAGTGCTGTTGCACTAATTAACAAAAGCACTGTAACCAATTTGTAGGCTGTACAAATATTTAGCTTAAAAATAATCACATTTTTACCAAATTAAAAATTAAGCAGAGTATCTTGCAATATTGTGTGGATATTCCCAATATCTTTTATTTTTTAGAATTTTTAGAAGTAAGGCTAAAAAGAATGCTTTGAGGGCAACTAAAATGTCACCTGTCCATCTTTTATGTCTGGACATTATTATTTGTTTCTGCTTCTCTACTTCTTTATTGCTCCAGTCAGGGCTATTGTAATGAATACAGTGACTTGACTAAGAACAAACAGCTGATCTGAGAAATGGCAGTGCTTCCCCAAGTGGCCATCTGGACAATTCCAACCAAGTGGAAAAGCATATTATTGCCCATCCCTGAATAACTGCTGAAAAACTCTGATGCAGTGGGGACAGGATGCTTTTCATGCAGCTAAAGACACTGTTCCTTTTAGGTCCATCTTCATTACGTCTTTCAAAGTATTTCCAAATTGTAGCTACTCAGTGTATGCTTAGAAATATGCCTATGCAGAACAATCTAAAAACAACTAAAAGGAATTAGTCTCTGTTCGTGACAGCAATGGATTAGTATTCTAGTTCCTAAGATGCAAACAAGTGGCATAACTTTTTTTGCTGCATTAATCATGACAACCATAATAGTCTAGTGATCTATGAATAATATATGATGTCCCTGGAACACTGCATAACAATTTTGTTGTAGCTGTGCCCTGCTGAGTCTGAAATTCCAGAGGTCACCAACCTGCATCCAATATGTGTGGATTTTGTGCAGCCAGAAAAGCCATGAGCTGCCAGTTTTGAGCGCGTTTTGTTCATAAACAAGTATTTCAACGAAGTATTTTTTTAGAATTTTAATACGCACAGTGTTTATAAATATATAATTGTGTTACTTGTTACTACCAAAGTTTTGTGTGTGTCCATCTGAGTAGAGTGCACACTTGAAACTTTCCTATGTGTGTGGGTATTTGCATTTGATTTCAATGGAGGGAGTTGACTGAAATACAGAAAACAAGCTTTTAGGAGAAAATGTTACAAGAAAGTTTTACGTGCAAAAGATATATTGTATATAGTCATTCAACTGCAAAGATCCATGAGTTCAATTCCCGGTAGAGAGTTTGAACCCCACAGTATAACATCTGGCTACCCACATCTGACAATTCCCAATAAGAATGAGACCAGTAACATGGTGCTTCCTGGTGTCAATGTAACTCATTTTAAACTGGCACTGGAGTGAAACTATGAGCATTACTGCTCAAACTTCCTCATGTAATTTTCCTTAACTTAGGTACAAATAACAACTCCTTCATAACTTACTCATGAGATTAAGTCCTGAAACTGCTAGAACCATTAGAGTTTTGATCTGATGCTCAGACTATATTAATGAAGTTTTTAAATGTATGCTTAAAACTACCAGCTTGAAAAACAAGGGATTCATATCCTCTGCATGGGTCTCATGCTGCTATTTTGTTGAAAATTCTATTATGCTTCTATTTGCCCCTTAATACACCATTTACTGCAAACACCACTTGGGGGGAAAATGCAGTCTATTTCTTGGGAAATTGGATCGGGAACAAAGCCCTATGGCTTCTTTTATTAGAACAAAGTAGCAGGATAAAGAAAGCTTTCGTTTAAAAAATGTGATAAATGTAATTTGCAGTTTGGTCTTAACTATGCATATACAACTCTGCATATGAAATCCTACCATTTCATCTCTTTTGCTGGCAAGGAGAGCAAAGTGGAATACATTTATTTCCCTTCCCCCCATTCCTCATCCTCCCCCAAGCAATCAGTATGTACATAGCAATGTTTTCATATGCTGTAATTCTACTTTTTTCTAAAATAGACATGTAATTCAACAAATTCATACATTTTACAAATTTAGAATCAGACCATAAAATAAACGTACTAAGTGTAGAGATAGAGATATATCTACTCATTAGAGGCCACTATATTGACAATTTTTGACTTATTTTTGGAACTGTTAAGTGCTTGAACCACTCATTTTTAAAAATGCAAACTATAGCAGCTCAGGGTTGACACATAACTATCCCATGAAAAAAAAGAGAATGTTCCATTTGAAAAACTGATTTCTTGGTAGGGAAGTTGAAGATAAAAATTTTCTGTTGCTTAATGCCCCTGGTCCAGGCAAGCT